CCCCCCCCCCCCCCCCCCCCCCGCCTCCTCGGCCTGCTATTCTCACCCTCGTCCGTTCCGGCGGCTGCGCCTTGGCTTCCGAGGGAGCTGCTTCCTATTGGCCCAAGGTGTCCGTGTAAATGGGTGTCAATGAAACCAGATTATGCCTTTCTGCCAGCCCTCCGGTGGCGCGCGCTCCCCCTCCCCTCCGCGCCTCCTCCCCCGCCCGCCCTCCCCCTCCTCTCCCTCCCCCCTCCCTCCCTCCCTCCCCCTCCTCCCAAGGCGATTGTCATATGATAGCAAAGAAGTGCCCCATTAAGGAAGCGCCTCGACAGGCGTCTTTTCTGCTCAAGTCGCCGCATGCAGCCGTCAGATGGTCGGGCGGCGGCGGCGGCGGCGGCGGCGACTTAGCGGGGCTGCAGCGGAGCCGCGGAGCAGAGAGCCGCTCGCAGCGCAGCCGCGCCGCGCCTCGCCCCGGCCGCATCCCGGGCTGGCCGCGCCGGCCGGTCCCCTCCTGGCCGGGCGTGCGGGCTGGCGGCGTCCGCCGCGCCGCGCCGCCCGCGGGACTTAAGGAAGACACGCTGGCCGCCCAGGAGGAGGGAAGCGGGCGAAGGGCGGAAGGACCCGTCGCCCGGCCGCTCGGGCCGCGAGCCGGATGAGGACGCCCCGCGCGCCGCGACTCTGAGGTGAGCCGGCGGGGGCGGCGGCGGCGCGGCGCGGCGCGGGCGGAGGGGCTGCTCTTCCCCGGGAGGCCGCTTCCTCCGCGGGCCGGGGACTTGGAGGGGGCGCCTGGGGGGAGCCCAGAGGAGAGGCCGCCCCCGCGTGGATGGCCAGCCCGCCGCGGTCGAGCGCCTTTGCACCGGGCAGCGTGGCGGGGGCGCGGGGCCGGCGGGAAGGGCCGGCAGAGCCTTCCGCACTTTTCTGGGGCGGCTGGAAGGGCTGCGGCAGAAGTTTGCAGTACTTGCGGTGCGGCGGGGGGGCACGCCTCGCTCGGCGCGCGGCCAAGGGACTTCCCGCCCGCTCCGCTGGGCTTCCCCGAGAGTAACTGCAGGAGGACGGGCGGCCCGTCTCCGGAGAGCCGCACACGCCGCCTTCTGTTTGCGCGCAGGTTCTTGCGGAAAGGTCGGGATCAGGGCGTTCCTGGCGTCCGAGGGTTCGGCCCTCCCGGGGCGGCCTCCGGTCCGATGGGCCAGGAGTCCCGGGGCTCTGGGAAGCCCTCCCGTCTTGGAGCGATCACCCCTCACCCTAAGCGGCGCCCTCTCGCCCACGTAGCTGCGCGAGGCCGGAGGGCACGCCCGCCGCCCGGGGCGCCCCTCTGCGCCGGAAGAGCCCGGGGAAACTTTCTGGGGCGGGGGAGGGCCGTCGCGCGGGCCCGCGCGCCCCGGCTTCCGCGGGGGTTAACCCGAGCTGTCTTGCCTCCCCGCCCGCGCCCGCCTGCCCGCCTGCCTGCCCGCCGTAGACCTCCCGGAGCGCCGCCGCCGCCGCCGCCGCCGCCATGCCTCGCCCGGGCCGCAACACGTACAGCGACCAGAAGCCGCCCTACTCGTACATCTCGCTGACGGCCATGGCCATCCAGAGCTCGGCCGAGAAGATGCTGCCGCTGAGCGAGATCTACAAGTTCATCATGGACCGCTTCCCCTACTACCGCGAGCACACGCAGCGCTGGCAGAACTCGCTGCGCCACAACCTCTCCTTCAACGACTGCTTCATCAAGATCCCGCGCCGGCCCGACCAGCCGGGCAAGGGCAGCTTCTGGGCGCTGCACCCCAGCTGCGGGGACATGTTCGAGAACGGCAGCTTCCTGCGGCGCCGCAAGCGCTTCAAGGTGCTCAAGGCCGACCCGCTGGCGCCCTCCAAGCCGGCCGACGCCGCGCAGCAGTACCTGCAGCAGCAGGCCAAGCTGCGCCTGAGCGCGCTGGCGGCGGGCGGCGGCGCGCACCTGCCGCAGGTGCCGCCCTACGGCCTGGGCGCCGCGCAGCCGTCGGGCTTCAAGCACCCCTTCGCCATCGAGAACATCATCGCGCGCGAGTACAAGATGCCCGGCGGGCTGGCCTTCTCCGCCGTGCAGCCCGTGCCCGCCGCCTACCCGCTGCCCAACCAGCTGGCGCCCGGCTGGCCGCACGTGTACGGCTCGGGCGTGCTGGACCCGTCTGCGCCGCTCGCCATGGCCGGCGGCGACTACGGCGCGGCCGCCGCCGCCGCCGCCGCCTACGGGGTGCCGCTGAAGCCGCTGTGCCACGGCGGGGCGCAGACGCTGCCCGCCATCCCGGTGCCCATCAAGGCCACGCCCGCCGCCGCGGCCGTGCCCGCGCTGCCCGCGCTGCCCGCGCCGCTGCCCGCCATCCTGTCGAACTCTCCGCCCGCGCTCAGCCCCACGTCCTCGCAGACGGCCGCCAGCCAGAGCAGCCCCGCCACGCCCAGCGAGACGCTCACCAGCCCGGCCTCGGCGCTGCACGCCGTCGTGGCGGTCCACTGACGCCGCGCGTGACGCGGGCGGTGCGCGGGCCGGGGGGCCAGCCCCTTCCCTGCCCGGGGGCGCCCGCGCCGGGGCCTGGCCTCGCCGAGCGGCGCTGGGGTGCCTCGGGTCTGGACCCCCCTCCCCTCGCCCCCACAGCGCCCGGGTCCCAACTGGCCTCGGGCGCCTCGCCGCCCCCCAGCCCGTCTCCACGCGAGCCTCCTTTCTCCCTGCTGCCCCGGCCCAGCCTCCCGTCTTCGCCGGAGAGCTCGGGGAAGGACTCCAGGCCCCCCGAAGTCGTGTCTCCTCTGCGCCCCGTTTTGTCTGGGTCCGCGCCTCTCTCCTCCTCACCCCGGGCAGGACTTCTCCCGCTCAAGAAATTAGATTTAAACCCGTGACGCTTTCCAAGGGATACCCACGACCCTTTCCCCAACCCCTCCTCTCTCTCCGCTCCGCAGTTTGGTTTCCGTCCGCAGCCAACAGAAGCGGCGCTTTCGCCCGTTTGCTCCCCGACGCGGTTTTTCCAGCCGTCTGCGCGTGGCTGGGTTTTGAAGCGCTTCACACAAGCAGGGTGGCAGCGAAGCACGCCTCGCACCAGCAAGCTCGCCTTCTCCCCCCCCACCCCCCCGCTGATCAGCGGACTCTTTCCCCCCAAGTCATCGGCACGAAAATAACCCCTTTCTTTGGCAGGTTTCCCCTTTTAATGTCAAAGATCCTCCAACTTGGGCCGCGCCAGCCCCGGTTTTCACGGCAGAATTTATGCTCGAGAGAAAGTGGAAAGGACACGCGCAAGAGGGGGAGCGCACAGCTGGCGAGGGGCGCCCCCCCCCCCGTTAAACCACTTTCATGGTACAATCCTATTCCTGTCTCCTCGGAAGTAAGTCCGACTGCACGTTTACTCAGACACAAGTATTCAGCGGGGCCATGCTCCGGGGTAAGTGTGCCTAGGATCGCATCTTTAAGTTTGAGCTCGGAGAAGATCCCGAAGTCAGGGGGATTTACTTCCGAGTAAACGTGCAATGGATCGCTTGCTTTGAAATCAACTGATCCTTTGGCAGCCTTCCTAGGCAGACTGGGAGTGGGCAACCTTTGTACACGGTGACTTCCGAGTAAATATGCGTGGGATTGTGCAGCTGGTTTTTCAATGCTTAACTTCGCTTGGACTGGATCCCTCACGGTTTACGCATCGATTAAATTAAACGCAGCAGTGAGCCGCAGGCTGTCTGTTTCCCCCTGTCACTTCCCTGCAACCTCTTGAAGTTTAATCTCTAAGTGGGAGAGAACAAGAAAGTTATTTGCTAAACTTCTGATTATTTGAAGCCCCCTTTGAGGCATTTTTTCATTAGGGAAACCTGGCTCACTGTAAGAGAGGCGTGACATTCCCAGATTTCTTAATTTATATTTTAAAAGTGAAGATGGTTGACGGCATGGAGAGGCATAGAAATCCAGACTGAACAAGCCCCCGCTTTTATTCCTGTTGGAACTTTTGAGGGAAAGGGGACGGTTGGGGAAAATTGTATATGTTTGTGAATAAGAATGACTTCCAACTGTGTAAAATGCACTTTTGTTCCATGTACCCCTTGGTAGCTGTAGGTAGTTTGCTGGAATCCGCCTGTTTGTGAACTGCTTAAGTTAAAGGAAAAACAAAACAAGATGTTGAACCATTCATCTGAAGCTGTTAAAAACAAAAAACTAAGGCCTCGATCCAGCCGGAAGTTTAATGGAAGTGAAGTGAGACAGGTGCAAGACGAGGGCGAGGGCTTGGACGGCATTCCTTCCTTTCAATGGGACTTTTGCAGGAAAACTTCCCACTGAATCGGGCCTTCACTGTTTTTCTTTCTCTTCCTTTTCTCCTCTTCTCTCCTGTACAGAATGAGCATGATATTTAAAATATTAATGTTCTTGTTTCCGTCCCAGCATGCCTGTTTTCAGACAAATGTTTGGGGTTTTATTTCAGTTTTTAAAAGTGTCTATGTTAAATTATGAACCTAGCCGTCCAAATAATATTTTCTCATTAAAATATGTAAAGCCAGAATGGGGCCTCCACAGCCATCTTTTTCAGCAGGAAAAGTGCATTAATTTATGCAAAGTTGATTTGCATTATTTCAATAGGGCGAGAACCTAAATAAACAAAGTTGGGGTGGGGGAAGAAAAAGATAAGGCCGCTCTCCCCGGAGATTAAGAAGCATTTTTTTTTTCTTTCCCTTTTTAACTAGACAGCTCCAACTTTTTTACTTTAATGAATCCTATTCACATGGTTAAACAGCATTCCATAAAAGAAAAGAAAAAGCAAGGAAAAAAAAGACTTCCTAGCCCTTCATATGTATATTCCCAAGGCAATATTGAGAGAGCACATGAATGGAAAAACTTGCTAGTATGTAATGTCAAACTTCCAGATTCCCTTCCACATGACAGGATGTGCTCTGCAATCTACCTTTTAAAGGAATTTGCTTGACAAAGAGGGTTTCACAAAACGAAGGACCAGGAAGCAAAACCTGCTGGGCTCCATAGGAAAGACTCTGTCTTGAGTAAGCAGAAGGAGAACGCGCCATGTTGGCTTGTTTTAAAATCCAAGGAACTTAATAGCAAGTGGGTTCCGCTTTATACTTCTCTATGGGAAGGAGTTGGTTATTTGCTGGGTTGCGCCCAATCTGGCTGCAGTCCTGCCATCTCAGAGCCGGTAGAGTTTTGCCCTTCGGGTGGGAGCAGGATTACACCAACCACACACCTATCAGGGGCTTGTCCGGAGAGAAGGACCTGCGTTGCATCTGCCTCAAGCCCCTGTCATTTTCTGCTGCTGCGAAATCTCTCGGTGGCCGGTGTGTCCCCTGCGTTTCATCCGTCTGTCTCTGTAGTTCATGTGCTGAGCTCCCTAGAAGTTAGTCCACTTTTCTTTCTTGACTTACTCTCATGGGGCATGCCTAGGATTTAAGTTTTAGAAGTTATTTTAATTATGATTAGTTACGATTAATTAGAAGAAGAAAGGAGCAGAATTCCGGAAAGGACGTGCCATCCTGCCGTTCCCCCCATATAATCCTTCGAAACAATCTGCAGTTTCTAAAGGCAGCCTGTCTCGTTTTCTTTTTACGAGATTCCGGTGCAATCCGGGCAGTTCGGAAGTGCTTGGGAGAACTATCGACTGCAGCCGAGCCGGCTTTGGCGGCGGTCCGCTGCGGACGGCGACCCGGTGGATCTTCAGGCACGTTTACTTGGAAGTAACTTCCACTGTGCCCCATGGGGCTTACTCCCCAGGGAAGCGAGTTTGGGCTTTCAGCACCCTAGCGATCAAAAGCTTCCCAAGGTGTTTCGTTTGAAAATGCGGGTTGTGTTTGCTGCTTCTGGGGCTGAGCGCCAGCGGCGGTTCATTTCCCTTCCAAACTAGGAAGAGAGGGGGCGGGCGAAAGTTGTAAGCGTTCCCGGGGCGCAGGGAACAAGCCCGGCTGCGAAGACAAGCGGGGATCGTTCCCACACAGGGGAAAGGTCGGGGGGGGGGTGCATGAATTATTAGCCTCATTGCAATGCACAAGCGGCTTAAAGCCTGCCAGAAGGGGGGAAATCGCTCTGTTAATCCAGACCAACCCACATTCAGCCGCTGTGACCAGCTCGGGAAGCGCTTCGCGGGATACTCCGCCGATCAATGAGGAGAAGAAAAACTCACCCCGAACCCCCAGTCCACCTTACCAAGTTTTCCCGAACAAGCCACGGCCCAGATTTGAGTGGGGGACACTCCCCTCCCCCGCCGCCGCTTTGGCTTTGTTTAAGCTGGAAAGATGCATTTCCAAATCAGCAAGAAAAAGGAAACTTCGCTTCTACACTCCCCTCGCGATTTCTAACTCAGCTAAGCCGACTTCGCGGGATTATTTTCTTTAAAGGCGACAGGGAGCAGTCCGTAGGTATGTCTCCTCCCAGGGAAGGGTCCGTAGTGTGCAGTGCCCTACACACTTACTCGGGAGTAACCGCTCTCGGACCAAGTGGGGCTTGCTTCAGAGTAGACAGGCCGAGGAGCGGGGCCGAAGCTGGCTTCGGGCGCCGCCCCGGGCCCGCGGTCGGTGCTGCCCCGCTCGGCGACGGACCCGCCGGCCCGGCTGTTCTCGTTTTCTTCCTCTTGCAGCTCCGGGCTCTGAGCTTAGCTCCCAACGATTCGAAATCCAGGAAAGCAACAGCTGCAGAGTCGCCGCGCAAGAGGGAGAGCAGGCCGCTTTGAGCTCGGCGGGGCTTACTCTCGAGCAAGCGGGGCTCGGCGCGGTCTACTCGAGGCGCTGCTCTCCCCGCGCCCCGCACGGCCGCTTCCGAGACGCCTCGCAAACGGCGGCCGGGTACGCGCCCGCGCCCTTGGATGGAGTGCAGCCGTTTCAAAGGGGCCAAGCGGTGGATCCCAGGGCAGTTCTCCTCGCGTGAAAGCGGCAGGACTGCAGGATTCCGCATGCCGAAAGTGGCGCGCTCACAAAGTCCCCCTCCCCACCGTCGCCTCTTTGGACTCGGAAAAGTCGCCATCCAAAGGTGAGACCGTTGGGGATCTTACGAGATCCCGTGCAATCGCCACCGGTTTGTTCCTGCGCCAGTGCGGCGCTGGGAAACTGCGGGTGCAAATGCAGGCAGGTGGGCAGGTAATATTTGGGACCAGCTTTGCGAAAGTGCGCAGAGGGTCGTCTGGAAGTCGAAGGAGAAATCGTCCGCGGGCTGCAGCCCGCGGGCCGGGTGGGGATCCAGCGCAGGGCTGAGCAGGACTGGTTGGAGGGCGCGGGGACGTGCGCAGGTGAGGGTCCACCGACTACCTGGAGGATCCCGCGCGAAGTCCTCCTGCAGAAAGCCCCTAAAAAGGAGCGCGGGGGGGGGGGGTCCCAGGCGCAGCCGTTTCCGCGCATCAGCGCCCTTCGCTGCGCGGAAGAAACACCGACTGAATTCTAGCCCCTTCGGTCTTCCACATGTTTCCCCTTTCCCTAATTCCAGTGCATGAGCGCTTCTGGAACGAACAGCACCCCCCACCCCCCAAAAAAGCACCCATTCCACCCAGTGGAAAA